CTACCGGTGATTCAGTTTAAATGTACCTAGTGATACCACTTTAAAGAATTTTGATGCAATGGTGGGAAGAAATTGTATCTGAAATTATTATTTTATCAGGAAGAATATATTCCAATATTGTGTTATTTTAGTTGCAGCTTCCACCATATACACATAAAATTATAAGAACCACAAGTGTAGCACTTTGGTACAGATGGTATGCAGGATATTTTTTGACGTATTGAACGATTTTGACCAGTCACCGTGGGGACTTGTCGCGCTACATGTATTTCGATTGCGAAAACGTTATGTTGACATTTAATAGTCAAACTGCCTAAAATATTACTTTTAGCGAGTCATGGTACTGCATTTATGATATGTGTATCCATTCTCTTGCAACTAAAGTTCATTTCAAGGCGTCAATAGCGATAATCTGACCGTGGTTGCTGTAAATAACGGTGAGTTGTGTGATCTACCGATCACCTTGCATACGATTTCGCCGAAAATATTGTAAACTTTATTTTAATTATTGAATGAAATATTGAATAATATTAATCAAATATATTGTTAACTCTAGTCCAGATAAACAGTGAAATTTCTTTTTTTATTACCAGATATTATATTATGATAGGACTAAATTGCGTTCTTCAGTTCGGATTTGTTGACTTGTATTTCCGGTGTTACGTGATCGCGGTGATCAGCTGATAATGTTTTCTGAGATGGGGGAAAACATCGTGTCATTGGAAAACTTGAGTTTACTAAAAATGTCAGTAAATTTTGGGAGCCATGCTTTAACCGCACTATAACCAAGCGCTCAATAACGAGGGAACACTGTACGTAACAACTTGAAATGTGTGTGAAAAGTCGTACAAAAATACGCTATTTGAAGGGGGCGTGGCCTAAATGTAAATGTCCAGTTGGGATTTAAAATTTTCCGGACCCCTTGTTACGAGAATGCAACTTGCTGTTTTGATTGATTGCTTTTGACGAATGAATATTGATTCTTTAGGTCAGTATATAATTTTATTCAAGCAAGACAACATTTTTTTATTTTTGTACCAAAATGAGAGAGTCAAAGCAGTTGAAACTTTGGAATGTGGAACAGATAGGTTACAAGATTTTCAATCATGCTAAATGAATGTTGATGTGATATCTATGACAACTACCGTATATCGCTGTGTGTAAGGCAAGTTTTTCATACCTAGAATTGCCTCATATACAGGGTTGAAGAAAAGAGTTCATTATATATCTGGACTTAGTTTCTAATCTATTTCGTTAATTTTATTCAAAATTTCATTCAACATTATTTATATTCATTTCGGCAAAATCATATGTGAAGTGATTGGAAGATCACACAACTATTTACAGCAACCACAATCATATTACCTCTAATGACGCATTGAAACAAACTTTACTGGATAGAGAATGGATATATATATATATCATAAATGCCATACATTTACTCGCTAAAAGTCATATTTGTTGTAGTTTGACTATTATATGTCAACATTAAGTTTTCGCTATCGTGAGCGCGGAAGCATCAACGGTGATTCGTCAAATTGTTCCATACGAAAAAAATATCTGGCAATAGCAATCAGCTATCAGCTATCAGCAATCAGCTGTACCAAAGTGCTACACTTATGGTTATAAGCATCGACTTTGAAGGCTTGTACAGGGGAGGGGGTCACCTTATACGTGGGAGGGGGGGTAGCTTTTTTTACGGTGATATACGGTATGTCAGAATATCGCAGCCTAAGTCAATCCCTGCCGGTAGTGTTGCCAATGAAAATGTCTGATTGCATTCCAAATGTTAAAAACAGGTTTCCACACAACTGTATTCATACGTAATAAAAACAAGTGAAATGATGGGTCGGTCGGGTTAACAGAAACACAACTATTTTTACAAATACATTTTCTCCCAGATGTATCAGTGATTCAGTTAAGAAATACTCAATAATAAAACTTCAAGAATTTTGATGTAATGATCAGAAGATATTGAATCTGAACTATTATTTTACCAGGAATAATATATTCCAATATCTCAGTTGCACCTTTCACTACATACAAGGGGATATCAAAAAGTTTTGAGCCTCACACAGAAAAAGTAAAAGAATTGGATTGTTACTACTTTATTTTTCAACATAGTCCCCTCCCAACTCCACACACTTGTTCCACCTGGTTTGACAGTCAGTGATGCCCGATCAGTAGAAGTCAACATTCTGGTCCCTTAACCAACCCTCCACAGCAGCAGTTAGCTGATCGTCATCTTCAAATCTCCGGCACCGGAGGTGTTTTTTCAGCCTGAGAAAGAGGTGGAAGTCACTGGGGGCTAGGTCTGGAGAATATGGTGGGTGAGTGAGGAGTTCGTAGCCACATTCTTGCACAGCTGTCACTGCAACACGGCTCGTGTGGACTGGTGCGTTGTCCTGGTGAAGCAGAATCCCACAACGGATTGATGGATTTGTGCACCTGCTTCAATAACTTGGCGTAATACTCCCCATTCATTGTGATGCCATGGGGCAAGTAGTCGATGTGAATCACTCCTTTGCTGTCCCAGAAGATGGTCATCATAACCTTCTTGGTGAATCTGGTGGCTTTGAACTTCTTTGTCTTTGGAGAAGTGGCGTGTTTCCATTCCATTGACTCCGGTTTGCTCTCCGGATCATAATGATAAACCCAGGTTTCATCACTGGTTACAATCCTAAAATGAAAATCATCTGGGTTGGCGTTGTGCCGAGTTAGCAAGGCTCCACTGATGGTGACCCTTGATAGCTTCATGTCATCTGTAAGAATTCTCGGGACCCATCTGGCACACACTTTGGACATGTGGAGTTTGCCATGAATTATATTATGTATGGACCAATATGATAGGCCTGTTGTTTCTTCTAGCTCATGGAGTGTAATACGGCGGTTTTCCATCACTAGTTTGTGTACAGTGTCAATGTTTTCAGGGCTGGTACTGGTTGATGGCCGTCCGGACCAGGCATCATCTTCTAAGCTCTCTCTGCCACGCTGAAATTCCTTCACCCACCGTTTGATAGTTGCAGACAATGGGGAAGACTCTCCATAAACTGCAGTCAATGTTTGGCAGATTGACCCTCTAGGACAAGGAACTTTATCACCGCTCTGTACTCAGATTTGTCCATTTTGCCAATTCACTAGGGCTAGGTCTCTTCCACGAATAGTTGTGACAAAATAATTGCAGCCAGCAATATGTTTCTACATAGCATCTGTAGCTAAGACATTCATGTACATCAGGTGTAGCGCATTGTACCATTCGACCAGGAATACTGTGTGAGGCTCAAAACTTTTTGATATCCCCTCGTACATTAAAAATATCAATAACCATAAGCTTAGCACTTTGGTACAGCTGATTACTATTGCCGGATATATTTTACGCATGGAACAGTTTGACCAAACACTATTGAGACTTCCAGCAATCTTGCTATTTCAATCATAAAAAAACATTAGGTAGACATTTTATAGTCCAACTATAACAATGAGTCAAAGTATGGCATTTATGATATGTGTATCCAGTCTCTGCCAAATAAGGTTTGTTTCAAAGCATCAACAGCAGTAATATGATTATGATTGCTGTGAATATATAAGGTTAGTTGGTGTGACCTGTTTACACAAGACTTTGCAGAAATTAATCTAATCAATATCGAATGAAATTTTGAAGAAAATTAATTAAATAGATAAGAAACACAAGTCCAGATATACAAAGAACACTTTGCATAACTAGATAGTGTAATAACAGGATTCAATTGCATACTTCAGCATGGATTTGTTGACATGGTATTTCCAGTGTTACATGTTTACAGTGATGTCTTTGCCTTAGGAAGAGAACATCAGAACTCACTGTAGGTGTGTATAATGCGCACCCCCTTCAACACACCTGTATTTTCTGGAAAAAAAGTGGGCAGTATACTCAAGAAAATATGGTAGCTGACCAAACCTGTATATTTATGCCCATCATTTGCACTCATGAGGCACTTAAATGTTGCCATTTTCCTGCCTAAACAACAGAGATAAAGACTTTGCTGTTGATTATTTTAGTGTTTCACAATAAATCCTTTTTTCAAGACAAACTAATTTGAGCAATGTTTCATGTTAACTTAGTCTTTTCATTTCAACTTATTTATTTATTTTTTAAATCATTAGAGTTAGTGATATGAAAAATTATTTTATCAGAAAAGTCAGTTTTATTTTAATCGGATTTTGCTCTTTTTCATGTCGGCGGATCTGTAAACCAAAAAAGAAATTAATTGCTCTGCATACGGTGTTGGACCCGTGAAGATCAGGGCTAGAATAGGTCTTCAGCAACACATGCTTGCTGTAAAAGGCGACTATGCTTGTCGTAAGAGAGAGGATCGGGTGGTCAGGCTCTCTGATTTGGTTGGTGCATGTCATCGATCCTAAATGCGTCGATCGATGTTCATGATATTAATCACTGGATTGTCTGGACCAGACTTGATTATTTACAGACTGACGTCATATAGCTGAGTGAGGCATTAAACAACAAACCAACCAACCAACTTATGATTTAGGAAAAACGAAGAGCAGTTTCAAACATTAAGTGTTCTGCCTCTTGCAACCTTAATAAGGAAGTCATATGAACTTCCGGTTTAATGACCCAAAGCACATGTTATATTATTTCAAGTTGAAAATGTGGGAACTAAGCCGCATAAAGATGTCATACCAACACATGGGGATGGTTCATAACAAAAAGAAGCAGAACACCAAAAAGAACCTTTCCAGTGGCCTTGAAATTGAATGCAGGTAACTCAAAACCTTTCCACTATGATGGCTCACACAAAGGGTGATATTTATAAAACTTCAGCCAATACAGAAAATACTTTACAGTAAATTTAAAAAAGTGCAGTGGAGGCTTAGAAATTAAGAGAAAAACCTTAAGTGTTGGGATGCTTAATTATCTTATTTTCATGACAACATAACATTACTTCCAGCTGTTGAGATGAACAAATGAAAAACTATCAGCATTTGAAAGTAAATCTCACCAATTGCTGTTGTCCACAGCATCCCCGAACCCTGGTGTATCAACTGTGGTCAGTTTCAGCTGAACCCCATTTTCCTTGAGAAGCACGGTTGTTGTGTCAACCTGCAATATGTAAAATAACATATAAATAACTCGAAGTTACAAGCAAAACACAAAATTATTTGTTAGCCTTTCAAAAACAGAAGCAGCCCTCTCACCACCATTTCTAGAAGACCTCAGATATCATTACATACCACAATGTGTTTTCAGTGTGATAACATTACCTTTTTACTAGTTCTGGCTAATGCTAGTATGCTCCAAGCTCTGTATCTTGTATTAAAATGCTAGCCCACTGAGATACCATGCCGCAGTTTAACATGAATACCCCACAAAGAAAGTATACTAACTCTGAGCCGACAAGTCCTTGTTTATAGGCAGGGTAACAAACAAGTACCATCCTTTAACAGCTTTTGCTCTCAGGGCGGACGCTCTACCACTAGACCATGGAGGCGGTCTGTAGATAATGAAGAGGCCAATTGATGTTTGTTGGTTTTGATGTTATTTTGTATGCATACTGATGTATTGTGTTGAGTTTACAATTGCTTTCTTGAAAATGACTGCTGAAACAATGAAAGAACTGAAGAAAGTGTAATACTTATTGTCTGACTGGAAGAATGAACTGTCTTTGAAAAGTGAATAAACATGTGAAAAGAGAAAAGTGAAAATGTCACAGTATGTGACTATATTAAGTGACACAGAGAAGTAAAATTTCTGATGGACAGCAAAAAAACTTTTTTGTCTTTATTTCAAAACTATTTGTGCGTCCCCTGGTTTCATTGAATGTCCCAAATTCTCAGAAAGGAAGAAATCATTAGGACCCACTTTTCCAGTTTCTGAAATGAATACTGCTTGAGACAGGCGATTATCCAGTTCATAAAAGTCACATCTCCGCTTAAGGTGAGGGTTCAACGAACACTCCCACCGATCTTTCCTGTCTGATTGGTGTCGGTTTAATGTTGACTGAAAGATACCCCCGTGAGGACAATAGTTCTCTCTTTGAAATATCATGTAGACTAAGTGTGATGTACTAAAGCAAGGCATGTACACTAAGAGCAGTAGATATGATCTATACCAAAGCTTGAATATCAGACTGAGAGAACGTCGCTGATAAAAGCCGGGATGATGTAAACAGTTAAGTAATGAACAAGGGTGATGATGACAACTCATGCTGATGTTGATCCGCTGGAAAGCGTATCAATGCTGATGTTAATGTCGAACCCAAGGAGTGGCGCATTAATGTTGATCCCCTACTTGATGTCTTGATATCGACCTTTGGGATCATCAGTTTGATATCAATCTGCTTGTCAAAGTTGATCCTCCTGTCGATATCAATTTGAATCTTCAGATCAATAACACTCCTCATCACGATGCCTATCTGGCTGTTGATGTCGATCTGGAGAGGAAGTGCGCTTGCATTCCCGACTCCCGTCATCCTTCTGGAGAAAGTGACATCTACTAACTTCTTAATCGCTGGTGAGAGTCCTGGAGAGAAACTCAATCCTGTGAGGGTCAGTATTTAGATTTTTACATTGTTCATCCCTATTGGATACGGGGAATAGAAGTCACCTCCCTGCTCAAGGTAATGGTGGCCTCTCTTCGGTAAGTGCTGTAAGTCGATCCGTGGCTGGCGGGGAGGTATTAACTTGGGTGTTGTCAGTATTCATGGACCGGACCTTGAGATCCCGGTAGAGAATAGATCTTGAGTAACCCAAACTTGGCATGAGAGGTGACTGGGTGCGATTTAAATTTTGGCAGGGGAAAATGAAAATAGTCCATCGTACTGCCGTTGAATTAACTTGTTAGGTTTCTTTGTAGCTGATGGTCCAAGCTCTGTATCTTTAGATAATGACTTTGATCACAGGTGTGTGTCGTGCTCCTGACATACCGTATTTGACGTATTAAAATCTCTCAAATTTAGAAATAGGGGGCTCTTATTAGAATATAATTTTGGTGAAAGAGCTGAAAGATCGTAAATTTCGTGGTTTATGCTGACAGCCTGAAATGATACAAAAGAAAAGTCTGTGCGCATTATACACGACAGATATATTTTTCCAGAATTTAATAGCCCGTAATTACGAGTGCATAGAACACATGAGTGCATATTATACACAAATAAATAAGTCTTGTGTACATTGATCAATCAGAAGGGTGCTAATTGGGATGGTTCACTAGCCAATATATTTGCAATTATAGCCGTGGGCGCTTATTACGTCGAATACGGTATGTGAATATAGTTGTGAAATTCTTCCTCTTAGAGATGCATACTATAATATATCGATCCCAATGTTGATTAGGTACTACACTTTCATGTTGATCCGAAAGTAGATCATAAGATGTCGATCCTGATGTTGATCCGTAGGCAACAGGTATGGTTGTCGATACTCAGGAAACAGGTATCGATGTCTATCTTGATGTCGATACATAGGAAATTGGTATCAATGTCGATCCCTCGGAGGTGTACAGCGATAGTGATCCATCAGCGGCTGTCAATCCGGAAGAGGAGGAAATCAATTTAGACCCACATGTTGATCTAAGTAACGTCCAGTAGAAGCATATGGGTAGAAGTCAAAATGTCAATATCGATCCGTAGGCGAGGGGTAATGATGTCGATCCAAGCAGGGATGGCAATCCTGGTGTCAATGTAGATCCTCTAGCTGATGTCGATCCATATGTCGCAGTAGATCTGAATCTGGAGCCGAAGATCCGAATCTGTCGATCAAGACCTGGCTTCATGTCGATGATGATCTGAGGTTCGATTGATCAGGATCCTCAGGTCGATGTCGATCCGGCTGTCAATGTCGATCTGAATAGGGAGGGCGCTGGGGATGAAAAACTCCTCTCGGCTGAGGGTCAGGACATACTGGGTGGCTTGTCTATGATGTCATAGGATATTTATCTTTTGGAATATTGTGATGATCCATGGTAGCTGGTGAAGAAATCACTTAGGCGTTGTTAGCGTACAGGAACCAGGTGTGGTCGTAGATTTGGAAGGAATGTCATCTTTCAGAAAACTGACACGGTATCGTCCTCCAACCATAGCGGCGTGACGGTAGATGCCTTGAGCTGATTGACGACAGAAATCTTAGAACGGACTGCTGTAATGGGGGAGTCTTTTGGTTTCTTCATATTTGAAGGCCCATGTTCTGTATCTTTAGAGACAGAATTTGATCGTTGGTTAACGGTTCTGACACTTGCGGACATAATTAAAATTTTACTTCGATAATTGAGAGCACAGTGAACATCGATGTAATGATTTGCATTGGCCGGTACAGTCACAATATAAAGTATGTGGATCACTAGTTGAGAAAGTGCGCTTCCACTTGTTGCCATCCTGGTGTTTCTCCCTCGTAATCTGCACTATAAGATGTTGTGTTCATCGGAGGAATAATAATAATTAAAAAAAATAAAATAATTCTCTACAAACTCAAACACATCCCCACACTGTGGCGATGAGAAACAGCATGATGTAGCAGGTTGTGAGGGTGTGGTAAGGGTACAAAGCACAAGGAGCAGCCATGGGAGGACACGACCGAGGTCCCAAATGCCGTAAGTTAATGCACATTGTTATTACAATGTAGCGTTGAATGTGGTATCTAAGTATAAGGTGGAAATTGAATTGCCAGCTAGGGTACACTTCACCTTTGACAACAAGAACCATAGCATGTCCACATGCATCCTAGTTGTAAATACTGCTGTCAAGTATTTTCAAAATCTCAAGTCATATTAAAAGGCACTAGTTCACCGCTAGACTGATCTAGATCTAACTAGAATGTGTTTTTACTCAAAAACATATATCTGTGCATTCCATTTTGTTGATACAATAGTTCCAAGTTGTTACTGTAAAAGTATTTGCAAATCTGAAAAACAATAATAGCAAATTATAGCCTGGAAAGATAATGGTTTCATGCAGAAACATTCATTATAACTGTCGAATTTTGGCATGAAACAAATGCTACTTGCTTGAGACTTAGTCAAAATTGTTTCCATGGAAACACAACAATTACCAAAAATTAAAAATTGAAAAATATGAAAAGGCTATAGTAGAGCATATGGTTATTGCACATGTATTGTTTCATGCAAAAAATATTCATTAGTTTGAGAGTTATAGCCTAGAGTTTTTTTAGTCTAAGTTGAAACATAAAACAAGGGGCATCAGTAGATGTCAAATCCTCCAGTCCCTACAAATTGGAAAGAACAAATCATCTGACTGTTACTTTAAGTCCAACTTGATGAGAGAATTTCTATCCAATCTGTTTGTCCGTATACAGGAGTAGTTATTGAGCGATCAAAACTATACTTCTATGTCAGGTACACAACAGTATGAACAGAGTCAAAATCAAACTTGCTGCCATGGAAAAGGAATTTTATTTTTCTTCTAAAAATGCCTTAATGGCAAAAGGCACCAATTGACAACCTGGTCTTTGTGTGTGCAAAGTGCCATGAAAGAATACCTGTTAGTTTTAGAGATATGGTCCGATCAAAACTATACTTCCATGTCAGGTACACAACAGTATGAACAGAGTCAAAGTCAAATTTGTTGCCATGGAAACAGGAATATTTTTTAGTTTTTAGAAATTCCTAAATAGCAAAAGGCACCACTTTTACCCCTAATTAATACATGTATCAAGTTTGGATGAAAAATGATGAACAGTTGTTTAGTTCTGCTTCGGAAAAGACAACTGCCTCTGTTTCAGCTAAGCTAACTTGTGTCCATGAAAACAGGGAAACATCAAATTTTGAAAAATTCCTAAATAGCAAAAGGCACTACTTCAGCCCTTGGTTAATACATGAACCAGGTTTGGATGAAAAGTCTTTCATGGTTTTCAAGTTGTGCTCCGGAAATGAAATACACCATCCCCTTTCGAGACAAAGTTCAAAAATAAAAATAAAAATAAACATTTCAAAACTCTGTAAATAGCAAAGGGCACCACTTCAATATCTATTGGATATTTGAGCCAATTTTTGCTATGACATAGACATGGGATAGAAAGTAAAATAAACATTTTATATGTTATTCCAGATAACACATACATGCTGCCAGAAGAAATGATGCAACCATTTTTCCTTGTTGCCTCTATGACACTTGCCTTTAAAGGTAATATCACCAGTTTATCTCCAGACAAAAACACAGAAATAGAGGTGCAATAAGGGTTAAACCCAAGAGATCATGCCTGTTAAATTATGTAAACAAATCTCTGTAAAACTCTGTACTTACACTGACGGTCTTCTTGATGCGATGTGAAGGACCAGGGTAGTCCCCACTGTACAAGTCAGTGAGGAAGAGAGAATTGATAAGTGTTGATTTTCCCAAACCAGATTCACCTGCAACATACAACAGATGCTAATAAAAGTAAATTGCATCATGGTTATTTGATTAAATATACAAAGGAAAGTCATTTTACATTCATTATTCACTATACGAGTGAACCAAATCTTCCACCTTCATCGTTAAGAGATTTGGACACTTGGACAGAAACCTCTCTAGGATGAATTACAAATACATCTGGTGACACATCTGTGGCAGCCTGCTAGAAAGGTGCGAGCCTGCCTGCCTGCATTCAGTCATCAATTCAATGACCCACTTAGAATTTAATATTAGGTTTCTTCATCTCCATGCTGACATAAAGTCCCAGAAATATAATTCTCTTATTCAAAAATATTTCTACAAAGACAAAATAAAACAAGCATGAAATACTCATATCCCCCATCAACATGATCAATATGACATGTCTGGTTGTGTGCAAGCCATTAGCCCCTGGTGTTTCTTGCCATCTGCATGTTTACGATAGAATATGTAACTGTATTTGTGATGAGTTATGTTATTACCTACAATGATCAGGGAAGGAAGGGAGTTCTTACTTTACTTAGAAATCATTGAGAGCAGGGGTTATCAAGAGGTGTACTGAGAAGTACAGCACCAGTCATTTGATGATCTGAGTAGTAGACTGGCATCCTGGAAAGCCACAGCACTGGCATGATCAGTAAAAATCAAGTCCAATGTAGCTCCAAGACAGTGAGTTGGAGAGTTAATGAGTTGAGTCATTTTTTGCACATTAAAGAAATCTTCAAATTTCAGTTTTTCACTCCGATCACGAAATTCCCAGTAACTAGGACATGTTCACATTCATACTGCTTGGAGAGATCCTGAAGTTTCTGCATGAACAGCAAGTGAATGTGACAACTGTATCCATGGCACCTTTAGAGGAACACACACATAAGCAATGCAGAACTTGCCCACAAGAAAGGAAATGTATTCAATACTGTGAGATGACATTATATCACATAGCTGGACAGTGTTCTTGAAACACAAACACAGCAAATACAATGTGTAGTGCCTCCTGTATAGACTTGATATCCTTGGAGGTTTTAACTGTAATCATTGTTGTGAGTTTCTGTAAAAAACACAAAACATGAACCCCACCGACAAACTTATCATTCTTCACATCTTCAAAATAAGCACTGAGTGATCAAACATCTAAGTGATCAAACATTCAAGCGAGAGCGACATTGAGTCCATCACCATGACTGTTCTCTACAAGGTGTGTCCAGGTGACCATCCTTTCATTCCACATTCTAGTAATATCATCCAGTGCTTTTTTGTTTACTACAATTAAGTGTTCATCAAAACCTACAAGTTTTGGGCCTTTCCTTGATCTGACCCCACTGAGCATTGTATACACTAGACCAGACTGGGCTTTAAATTTCAAGTCAAGTGGTATTCATCTTAATTAGGTATTTATTAGGGCTGCACAATGAGGCTAATACGATCTGTATCACGAATACGAATATTAATTCACGAATACAATAACAAGTCAGCAGTTGAGGTATTTTTGTAATATTCAGTGAAACATAAACAACATAAATTATTTGACATGGTTTGTTAATTATTAATATATTCTACATTTATATACTGCACTAATCAAGGTACTAGTATCTGCTCAAATTAAATATTATAAGAGTGTTGTCTCTGAAGAAATCTATGCATATAATGTTCTTATGGATATTTTTAGGTACAGGGTATGTAAATGCACATGCTTGCATATTCATAAATATTCGATTCAAGTGGCCACAAATAAAGAATTTAATTCACGAATGGATATGGTTCCATTCACAGAATATGTGAGTGAATCGTAACAGTCCTAGTAATTATGGTAAAGGTTCTCAGACAACTCTGCATGGATCTTTTTATAGAATGTGTAAATGATTTCTGAGATGCCATAGAGACCTATCTATGTGCCAAGTTTAATTTAAATATATCTCATGTTTTTTTAGTTCTGCTCCGGAAACGAAACGTGACGGACTGACAGAAAGATGGACGGACAGCACCCATTCCAATGTCCCCCTTCCACTTCATGACTGTCTGATTAACAGGTCTATATAGCACTGATTTAATCGGTTCCCATCATTAGTATCGGATAAAGCCAATGGATTAACGCGTGTCGGATTAACGAGACTTGAACTTAGTTGAAGTACTTTGTAAACATCACTTTTTGACCAGAAATCCCTTAAACATCAAAATAAGAATTTATTATTATCACTATTATGTCATGTTTTAGTTTCACATTTGTCAGGGAGGATACAAAATTGTCAGACACAAGTTTGAATTTGCACACTTTTGAATTTATCGGACAGATTGCTAGTCGCCTTGCAAACTTTTTCGTGAAGACCAAGTTGAATCAAACTTGCCCTAGAATATACGTCATATGAGTATTATCATGAAGGCAAAAAAGAGCAACTCACCAACTACCATCAGTGTGAATTCAAAGCCTCTCTTCACAGACTTTCTGTACACCTGATTTGGGAGATTTGCAAAACCTACATATCCTTCCAGTTCTTTGTGTGTGTCACCATACTTTTTCTCCCGTTCCTTCTCCTTATCAAGCTCGGTATCTCTCATATATTCCTTTTCCTTCACTCTTTCTCTGTCATATCCAAGACGAGCAGAAGGGTCAAACTTTGTGGTGGGTCCATCCCCGCTACCTCCACGAAAAAAGGCTTCTCTCTTTGCTGCATTCATCTGAAACAATCAGGCAACTGTATACCACCAACCCTTGTGTATAAGAAGAGAAGATATGATGCTTATATACAAAATTCCTGAATAAAATGTAAAGTAACATGATGCATGCCAAATTCAGCTGCAGGTTACAACGTAAGATCAAGTTCTGGAACCTTCAGAGGCATTAAAGAATTATTTATTTATTACCTGAAACTAAAAATGTTCATATTAAGGTGCCACTTGCATGTATCTGATCCGTGTTGCTGTCTAGCTACCCGTTATAAGTTAGTCATCAAAACATAAAGTTCCATGCCTCCAGCTACCTTTATAACAAAACTTAAACGTTTTGGGTCAAATGACAATCAACCTATCTTGGCTATGAGCTGCCAGAATTTTTTTAATTAAAAGCATATAGGGTGTTAAGTAAGGATAAGATTTATGGATGAACAACTTCTTTATTACAACTGGGAGCAACATTTCAGTGTAGGTTCTCATACCGTTGTCAAGCAAGTGATGGTTGACAAGTATATATATATATACAGGTAGGAGGCAGTGTTTATACAGTAGAGAAGATATCAGACGTAATTACACCGGAGTGGAGAAGCCTGCTATGTACACAAAAAGAGTAGTAAACAAACTGACCGACCAAGTCAGTAATATAAAACAAAAGGGTGAAGCGAGTAAAATAAACAAAAAGAGTATTCATGACTGATTGGGGTCTTTGATGAGTTATGGTATGCCTGGGGTCTTTTGATGTTGATGGCTTCCTCTAGTTTTCTGATTTTGAAGTCTTTGAGGTTGGTGGTGAGGGCTTTGACTTTATCCTACTGGATGCTGTGGCTTGGATTGTCACGGATATGGTCTGATAGTGCTGATTTAGAGTCATCTTTGGAGACTGAACTTTGATGTTCTTTAATTCAGGTTTTGAGGGGCCTAGATGTTTCTCCAATAATATATACTGCTCTTGATGGTTAAAGTTTGTGGCTGGATGGTGGTTTTCCTGCAGCTTTAATTGTGTTATGAATGGTGTTACTTCTCCTGAAAACTACATCAATGTTGGCCTGATTTTTTAAGAGTCTCTGGATTATTTTCCTAACTGTTCCAAAGTAGCAGAGGGTGATCACAAAGGTCGCAGTTTTTTTACGGGGAAATTTCTGAGATTTCTTCATGATGTTCTGTATTGTCTGTTGTACTAGCTGCTACATTGATGTAGTTTTCAAGAGAAGACACAACATTCAGAACACAATTAAAGCCACAAGAAAACCACCAACCTCAAAAACTTGTGCCTTATTTGACTAATCAACGTTGAAGGTATAATTCTTCTACTATGTTAATACCTCTTGCCTTACAGACAGCATAAACAAGCCAATTATACACAGTAGATGCTATCTTTAACATTTATGCCATGCATCCTCAGATCTATCCAGACATATCACAGAAAGTACTCATTAATATCAGAAATAACAAGAGTCATCAGTAGACAACATATTCTCCTGGTCCAGCCTCATGTTCATTTAAGTCCAAATCTTCATCATGAAAACATAAATATATACTGAACCGCAAAAGAAACGTCCCCATGAATAGATATATGAGAAACCTTATTTGTCAAAACACTGTAAACATACTTTGAGACATATTAAAAATATGAAACGTGGCAAAACTGATCATCAAGGTTGAAATTAAAGTGTCAAATGTTCTTAAAGTGAAACACAACACTAGTCTCTGGGAAAATGGCATTACAAGTCAGTATCTCTTGAGTCCGCTATGTGCATTGATGACTGCTGTGCAACGTCGATACATGGAATGGATGAGGCGGTTGATGAAGGCCATAGGCACTTGAACCCACACTCTGAGGAACACATGACGCAGTTCAGCTGCAGTTGTCCGCCTTGGTCGGACGTCATTCAGCCATCTTTGAATCTCGTCCCACAGGTGCTAAATGGGATTAAAATCGGGACTGAGGGCAGGCAACTGCATGGTTCTGATGCCACTCTGCTGGAGGAAGCCTCTTGTTGCTCTTGCTGTGTGTGCACAGGCGTTACCATGCTGAAACTCGTGGTTGTGGCGATGTGCCAAATGAGATATGGCGTGTGGACTCAAGACTTGATCAATGTACCGAGCTGCTGTGACACCATTGCCTCTCCCAGGACCGATGTTCTGGAAGACCACAGGGCCGACCCTCTGTGCAAGACCAATTCCACCCCACACCATGATGATTGGACCAACCCACGAGTCTCCCTCAACAACACAAGCATCTGAATAACGTTTCCAACGGCGTCGCCAGACTCTCTCTCTGCCATCTGCTGTTGAGATACAGCAACGGCTCTCGTCTGAGAAGAGGACTCTTCTCCACTGCTGGTGGCACCAATGCTGGTGCTGTGTTGCCCACCGGCGATGATGTGGTTTCAGAATGGGTCCTTGGTATGGCCTGTGACAGTGGAGGTGTCTGCTCGTCAATCGTTGACGCACAGTGTCCGCACTAATGTGTCGCTGGTTTGTCCCCATGGTCTGTCGAGCAGTTTCCACAGCAATAAAAAAGCGATTTTGAAGATGCTGCCGCACAATCTCACGATCCTGACGTGGATTAGTATTAAAGAAGTTGTTATCGATAAAATTGTGTCTACCTTGTCATCCGTCAACTTCTAAGTAATGCCTATCAAACAGGGGTAGAAACTAACATTTTTGTTCCACTAGTCCTTATAATGATAACATATAGCGGCACCCTTATAAATGGCAAACTGCTACTAGTCCTTATGATACCTTAACTATTGGCCAGTTTGGCAAGGACTACAGGACTAGTGCCAATTTCTCAAAGATGGTAATACACTATTAACCACTAAATCTGAAATTGCCACCAAGCTTGGTGAAACTTTGGCAAATCGTTCCTCAACATCCAATTATAACCCTCCGTTTCAGAGGTTTCAAAAAAAGCAGGAAAAGAAAAAAGTAAATTTTAACTGATAATGGTGAGGACTAAAAGGAAACATTTTCACTCAATGAATTACATACTGCCCTAGGGCAAGCCTATGACACTGCAGCAGGAGCCGACAACATCCACTATCAGCTCCTGAAACACTTCCCTGATTCATGTCTAGAAACTTTACATAGTAATATATAGAGGTGTAACGATACGGGAGGGTCGCGATACAGGGGTTGCGATACGATACGTATCATGATACAGTGTTTACTGGTACAAGCTAAGCCAAGTTGATGTCTTTCTGCTATCTAAAAGATGTGACAAGTACAGTTGAAGAAGATATAAGGTGTTTATTTACTGTTATAGCAAATTGTCAGCAATACATTATGTTTTACTGAAACAACAAACTGGCTTTGAAACTGTTAACGTATTTCATGGGCGCACCCCCCATCCCCCTTTTTATTTCCAAAAAAAAATCTTTATTTCTGTATAAATTACCACCAAAGACAATAAATAGATCTTAATTGTGCACCCCCCCCCCCCCCCCCCCCCCTTTCAAAAAAGCTGTATCCGCCCATGTATTTCATGTATTTTCTTGAGTATAGTGCGCACGCCCCTCTAGCAGGTTCAATATTTTTGAAAAAAAGAAATTTGAATATTATGCGCAGAAAAAAATTACACTGTACCCCTTCAGCGAAGTCCGGCAAACGAACAGGTGATGAGAAACTTCGTCAGTACAAATTCTAAATTTGAGATAAAAAAAATCACCAGACATGTTGATTTACCGTTTAAATTGTATTTTTTGTTCAGCTAGGCATAGTTTTATATCCAGGGATTAAGGTTACCATGTGTATTTTCTCGTAAACTAAGCTGGACACAGCAATCAGCTGTACATGTACACACGTTTTCTTGGAATCTACCGGTGATTCGGTCAAGACACACCCAATGATATAACTTTACAGTATTTTAATGCAAGGATCGACAAAAGATGTATCTGAAACTATTTTTTTATCAGGAATGATATATTCCAATATATTGTTAATTTAGATGCAGCTTTTACTAAACATATTTAAAATAATAATAACCCTAAGCGGAGCAGCTGATCGCTATTGCCGGGTATTATTTTTTACATGGAACCAGTCTGACCAGTCACCGTCAAGGCTCCCGTGCACGTGATCGCGTGATCGTGAGAATTACGTGTTGACATAGAATCTTCCAACAAAAACAAACCTGACTTTTAACAAATCAAAGTATGGCATTTATGATATGTGTATCCATTCTCTGTCAACTGAAATTCCTTTCAAGGCGTCAATAGCGGTAATCTGATCGTGGTTGCTGTTAATAACGGTGAGTTGTGCGATCTTCCGATCGCTTCACACACGATTTCGCCGAAATTAATTAAAACAATATTAAAAGGAATTTTGAATAAAATTAATGAAATAAGTTACAAACATAAGTCCAGATATACAAAGAACACTTTTTTATAGCCAGACAGTGTAATTACATGAATAATTTGCGAACTTCAGTATGGATTTGTTGACATGGTATTTCCGGTGTTACGTGCTCACGGTAATGTCTTTCCATGGGGGAAAAACATCAAAACTCATTAATTCGTGTATAATGCGGAACCCTTTCTACACAGCTGTGTATTTTGGAAAAAAAGTGCGCACTATACTCAAGAAAATACGGTAGGTAAAACTGTGTTATGAAAATATCGTATGTATTGCGATACATGCTTTCCAAATCGATGCATCGTATCGTGGGCTGTGCATCGGGAGACAATATTGTATCGCCGTATCGTTACACCACTAGTAACATACTGGATGAAATATGGACAACCGGAAATTTCCCTCCATTCCTATACAAATATACAGATCCTTCCAATTACCGTCCAATATCAGTAACTAGCTGTGTTTGTAAAACCATGGAGCGCATGGTCAACAATCGATTAATCTGTTTCTTGGAGTCCAATAACCTCCTGAGTGACATCCGGTACCATTCACCGTTTGGTGCGTTTAGAATCATTTATTAAAAAATCCATTGTCAACAAACAACATACTGTATCGTCTGTATAATAATTTTTAAATATGTATGTGAATAATGA